GATGACACTCTCCTTCCTGTTAGGTCATGTCTCCGGTCTTTGCTTCCATTCAGTTTTTATGATCTACTGAAGTTTTTACTTTAAACAGATTTTATTGATTGCAGAGACATTAGAGACATTTGTTTTCCATTTCTATTGATTCCCTTGTTTTCATTTCTATTGATTGTATATCTCATATATATGTCATGCAGAGATCAAACTGTATTGAGAGACATCATTTTGTATTTGTATTTAATCTGCTTTTGCAGTCTTTTGATCGCTTTTGCATGTTTTCGAGGTGCTATAACTTTTAACTCAGGTGAGGATTTTTTGCACTGTCAGTGGCTCTTTTTTGCTTGTTTGTTTTTTCTTCGGTTTTTTTTCAAATCTGATTAATTTTTGGATGGAACTGGTTTTGTCCAAATTCCAGACAAGACTGTCAAGGATGTAGAGTGACATAGTAAAGAGTTGCACATGCTTTGGGTTGACATGACAAAGGAGACGATACCCATTGCCACCGTGCGGGTAAACGGCGGGAGTAACTATGACTCTCTTGAGGTAACCAAATGCCTCGTCAGCTAACTACTGACGCGCATGGGAACAATGCTTCATACGTCCTCGACGTGTTCCCGGAAACTGCTCACTCGCTAGTTCGTAGGTATTCGACAGGTGATCAGGCTAAATTGAAGCAGGAGCTCAAGGCAAGAGGGTGGTCAGCGAGACAAGTGACCACATTGAGCGCTGATTTGAATATGAGCCAGAGCGAGCATTTACTGGCTCAATCTTCGAACCAGGACCCTGGCAACGGGCGCGACGCCCTACAGGCGAGGGGAACGAAACACTCCCAAGTCTTGTTCAAGATCATAGAAGGGGAGGCTGGATCGATTGGCGGTCCCTTGCGGAAGCTTGGAAACGTTTAAGAGAACCGTGTGACGCGCAGCGTACCATCAATGCCCTGAAAGGGCAGTATGCGAAGCAGAATAGGGATCAGCGAAGGATGGAGGCTAGAGTGCCACCTGGAGCTGATCTAACAGAGGAACTCCCGGGAGCTCTCTCTCTCTCCAGGAGGGCTCTTTACCAGGAAGTGGGTCTGACATCAGAGACCATCGTGACTCAACCTGTAGCTGCGAACCTTCAGGAAAAGCTACTCCAGAGGTTCAAAGTCTACTATAAGGTTGCCATAGGCTCCCATGATAGACGCCCTATAAGAAGACCGGAAGGAGAAATCCCGAAGGATCTTCTTGAGAGTGGTAATGCGGTGCTGGTTCGCATGCTAGAAGATCTACCACCCTCGAATGGGAAACGGTTCATAACCAGCTTGAACGCTAGTGTATATGCTACTGCTCGTGCAATAGCTGTCACTGCGGACGAGCTGAGGCGAGATCGGACGACCGTTGACCCCAAACGCCGTCTTAAGGAGCTATACGAACAACGGAGATCGCAGTTAAGAGTCGTTTCGATTCTGAGCAGCGAACTTCGGAGACGCAAAGCGCTTCGACAGCGAAAGGAAGAGGCCATGCGCGAAAGGAAGAGGCCATGGCCTAGCTGGAATTATCTCCGAGTAGCTGAAGCGCATAAAATCCGACGTCGCGGAGAGTTGGGGCGAGTTTCGAGAAAGTCCAGGCTTTCAACTGCCGCTTTGCCTCTGGTAGGTGTTTCCAGGCTTTCAACAGCCGCATAAGTCGATCCCGAACTGGCCTTGCTAGGGGAGGGTTGTGCTGATACCGAAGAAGAGAGGCGATCCACGTTCGCTCGGACCTGGAGACTTCCGGCCAATAGCATGCTTAAACACGTGCTATAAGATCTTGACCGGCATGATGGCGACACACATCTCCCAAGTAGTAGGAGACCGGTTTCCCGGTAGTCAAGTTGCCCTACGAAAAGGAGTTTGGGGTTGCACTCATGCCCAGATACTGGACCAGACCATTGTCAAGGACGCGGAGCGACATAATAAAGAACTGCACATGCTTTGGGTTGACATGACGAAGGCATACGATTCCCTCTGCCACGGTGCTATCTTCGTGGGGCATCAAACAGTGGGGTACCATCTGATGTCCGACGTCTTTTGTCAACCATCATGTCACTCCAGACCGTAAGGTACTGTGGTTACTCGAACGGGAGACAAGTCCGGAGCAGACCCCTGCAGATCAGAAATGGTCTTATGCAGGGTGACACTCTTAGCCCGTTGCTATTCTGTCTAGCCATAGCATGGATCCAGGCACACGTCAAGCCGTACCAAACGAAGACCGGTTCAGGGCCCCGCTCTGACGGCGCCTTACAGGTTAACCATGTGTTCTACATGGACGACCTTAAGGTGTTTACACCTGATTGGGAAAGCTTGATGGTGGCCCGTAAGGGGATCCAGCGAGTTGCTGGGAGGCTTGGCCTGGAAATGAACATGAGTAAGTGTGCAATACGGTCGCTCAACTCCGAAGACATGGGGCGAGATCGAGCCGATGAAGTAGGTGGAATACCTATTCTCGGAGGCACCGAGGTCTATAAGTATCTGGGGGCTGAGCAAACTGGATTGATCTGTTTCGAGGACCTATGGCATCGAGTCGCAGAACGGCGACGGCTGCGGCACGAAGGTTGTTCTTCAGTAAGCTGACGATTCGTCAGAAGGTGAACGGGGTGGTCGCACCGAAGCTAAAGTATGCGTTCTCGTGCATAGTATTCGAAGCAGGGAGATTCAGCGCGTTGAGAGTGCGAGCCCGCAACTTCGACTTGGAGATGAGGCGACTGTTGGTCGAATCTCATACGAGATTCAGACACAGTTGCGTTGCGCGCCTGTATGTTGGGAAAGAGTCCGGAGGACTGGAATGAAGTCGGTAGAGGAGGAGCTTGAACTGAGTGTTACATACACTTGGTGCTACCTAGCCTCGAGCACTGACATTCCTAGTCTCGTTCGAGTTGTCGGAGCGTCTGCGTGCCAGTACGAAGCGATCGATCACGTCTGATTTCCGCACGATAATGACTGCGAACGGATTGGACGATCGCGTATCTCGCACGATTATGGCGACCATTAAAGTAGATAACCAAACGTTCTATACTGCCACCGAAGCGGCAAGAGCTATCTCTAAGCTGATCCGGGAAAGGTGGTCTAAGAGCTACCTTGATGACTGGAAAAGCAAGGAAGTAGCTGGGCGAGTGCTGCAAGATCTTGGTCGAGATGGTAACCCGACTGGACTATGTAGAAAGGATTCGTTCCTTTGGTCCATTAAAGGTTGGGTATCATCAGAAGTTCTCAGGAACGTTTGAGGCAGTACAGGAATCATCACTCTTGACCAGAGCCAGTGCTTCGGGTCGATCCTTAGCAAACTCTGGTAATGGCTTGTGCCATATGCGCTGCGGACCCTACATGGAGACCGCCGAACATGTTGTCTCCACGTGTGGCCACTGGCTGACCAACCTTACGGTCGAAAGACATGATGAGGTGGCTAGGGTCCTATATGCTTCTATCAGGCGCAAATACGGAATAACCGTAACAGTGAATACCCACCGTCCACATGTTGTGGAAGCGAGTCAAGTGGTTATACACTGGAATGATAGCATCGTGACAAGCGAGGGGCTAGAACACAATAAACCGGACCTTTTGGTCTGGGATAAACGTGCTGCGCGGATATGGATCATCGAGGTATCGATCTCGTGGTATACCCGCGTCCTCGCTCAAGAAAAACGGAAGCTCGGTAAGTATGGCATAAATAGCACTCTACCCGAGGAGACTGGACCAGATGGGTTCCATCCAGGCCCAAATCTCCGTGCGGTCCTTCAGAAGGACAGGCACTGTCGAGTAGACGTAATACCAATAGTCTTAGGGGCTTGTGGCGAAGTAACGCCCAACCTAAGACGATACATACTTGCATTAGAGCTTCGAGACGATGCTAATGACCTGATAGAGCATATGCAGCGTTGTACCATCCTCGGCACAAACCGATTGGTGAAATGTCATCTCGCCAATCCGAGTGATGATTAGTCACACGGTCAGACCCTGGAGTCGCAACAGAAGGGACAAGATGCATGGATACGGATGTGCCAGCCAGTACGCCCGGGTTGGAAGAGTGCATACGTCCTGGAGCTGCTATGGACTCCTTATCTTGAATCATTACGGGAAGCAACAGCTAGCCTCTGCGTTTAAAAACCCAAAACAATGGAAAAATACATAACCCTAAAATAGAAAAAAAGTCAAAAGACCTAAAAAGTATAAAATCATAAATTCAAAAAAGGACAGTTGTGAATTGCGTACTATGTACGCATTTGTACAGTTATGTAAGTAACATTGAACTGCGTACTATGTACGCGCTGTACGTAATAGTAATTGCGAGTAAACATAGTAACTGTGTACGGAATGTAAATAATGTACATAGAAGTAGATTAGAAATCGGCCTAGTCGATAATACGGGTCTTTGATACGGTCGACTACTCTCGATCGGGTGATTTACCCACGCTGACCCATGTCGATGCATTGATTCACGATCTCAACGCATCGGCTCCATTGCTGTCTAACGCGTTGCTACATTGCTATCTAAACAGATAGAAATAGTTTTCCACTGCCATGATACTTATCAATCCGAAGAGCTAGCCACGCCGGAGCAAGAACGCAAGAACAAGAATACATAGAAGAATCAACCAGTACGAAATCGCACCCGCCCCAACGAATCTGGCTAATCCGCAGCCTATGAAGAATGGGATAAATTAGCGCTGCACAAAGTGCAATATTCAGCCCGGCGGAATTTACGCAACTGCTATCGTGCCCTGGCTTAGTGGATAGCGTGATGCGCTCCCATTAGGCTGCGTTTATGAACGCATCGAATATCCCTTCGTGCGCACACTTGTTGCTATTTTTCAGAATTCTGCCTCTTGTACTCCGAATGCCCATAATGTGTAATGGATCTGGCATTATACCATTTAAGGCACATTCCATGCGGAACAGTCCTCACACGGGGCCTCACTCAATGCTACGCTCCGAAGCTACTATCGAGAAACTCTTGTAGAACTTGGGTATAACGGCCGCGTTATCGATGCTGTGATCTGAACATTTACACTCATTTCTTAAATATGCGCAATGCTGTACGCAATTTAGTTAAAGCTTTTCTCGTACTGCACTAAGCACCTAATGTTATCTGCGCGGCGGAGGCTTATGTAGTGCCATCTGCCGCACCAGCATGGCCTCCGGTGCAAAATAAGTCAGTCAGCCAACCTGTGCTCAGGCGATGACTATCCCTACGTTATAAGCCATGTTACGCTGGTTGCAAAATTTTTTTCTCCGCGTTTCTTTTGTTTATGCGGTGCTGCCATGTCTCCAGCTAGTGGCTATCAGTTCCCCCCCCCCCCTAAAGAGTCATTATTTAACATCGTTAAGAGGGGCTTTTCATTTGTTAGTATGCAGACGAGAATTAACAGCCACACAGAACAGTGAGGCACATACACTGCACACCACTAATACCTTTGATATGGGAGAAACAAGATTTTTTTTTCCGGGCAGGTGGTAACGAGTTCTTTGTCGAAATTGTCGAAAACGGTAAAAGTGGAGAAAGTTTCAGGATGCTCGTTTAATGACTGCGAAGCCAGCACGGTGTTCTATGTAAACCTACTGAAGTTGAGAGTGCAAGAAATGAAAAATTTCTGGTGGTTTGTATGCCAGAGAGGATACCCAATGGTGGTTCGCCTGTCACTGCCATCCCAAATGGTCAAGTCCATGACACAAAAAACGCGAAAAAATTTTTCGCTCGAAACTCTTGAATAGAATCGAATGCGCCCTGATCACCGATTCTGACAATTATTTATGCCGCGACGTAATCTGGGCCCAGCGTGGCCAAATGGCCACCCCCCCCCCCCCCCCACTGCGAGCGCGAAGGGATGCTGCATAAACCCCTAAAGAAACTGCAGTATACCTCACTGTATGCAAAGTAAAGCACTTCAATTTCGACCTTATTCAATATTGTTTTTCATGTCTAGTTGAGGAACACTTTATAAACTCTATGTATTCTGCTTTACAGCTGAAACAGATGCGAATGAGATGATAAAACTTGCGTATTTTGAGCGATTTGTTTTATTCCTTTTTGGCATTCCCAATAGCGTTTAGCAAAAATGAAACCCATCTGTGTGGTCCTTGTATGGACCCCTACAACATGCAACAAATCGTTTTGAAAAAGCTCACCACGGCCTGAACGACCTCCCTTGTTAGGTCCAGGTGTCCTGGACTGGCCGTGTGGGTCTGGGAGCCCAGCCTCCAGTATTCTTCGGCCGAGGCTATCCTTTTCTACCTTGCCCATTTTCCACCACCGAATTCTTCGCTCTGCTCTCACCCTTGTCTTCTTGGGGAGGTCTATGGCGATGTCTGCCAGGAGAGGCCTGTGCTGAGGGCCCAGCTCTTCCCCAGGCAGTACCTTGATATCCTTGACGGTTTTGAGAGACGATCTTCTGACCAGGACATGGTCGATTTCCGTTTGTCTCCCTCCACTGCTGTAGGTTATCTTCTGAGTCCTCCTTTTCGCGAAGAAGGTGCTACAGATTGCTAAGTCGTGAGCTGTGGCTAGGTCAAGGATCCGTTCTCCCTCAGCGTTCTTTGCCCCTATTCCTTGGCCTCCGTGCACCCTTTCTAGACCCCTTCTGTCCCTCCCAACATGGCCATTCAGATCTCCAGCTATGGTGAGATAGTCCTCTTCCGGAACCGATCTTATGGCCTCGTCCAGGGTCAGGTAGAACTCATCCTTTTCCGCCTCGGAGCAACCGGATTGTGGTGCGTACACGGTCAGTACGGTCCAGTACCCTTCCTTCGTGTCCATTCTCACTCCCATGATCCGATCACTGATTCTGTTCACAGAAGGAGACGCAGTCCTTGAGGGATTCTGCCACCGCTATGGCCACGCCATTCCGTTTGGTGTCTGCTCCATTGTAGAAGAGTTTGACGCCTTCTCCAATCTCGCGGGCCTTCGCACCCTTCCATCGCGTTTCCTGAAGGCATAGGACTTGGATATTCCTCGTCTCATGAGGTCGGCAACCTCACGAGACTTCCCGGTAAGCGACCCCACGTTCAGGGTCCCAATTCGAACTAGCTTCTTTGGCCGAGGTCGTTCACCCCTCGGTAGCCCTCGCATACTGACCACAGAACTCGGGCGAGGGTTCTGCGCGCCACTTCCGGGTGACGTCCTAGCATTAACACTGATTCTATTGCGACTTGTCATGATTGTTGTGACGGGTTCCTCCATCAGCCGGCCTGTCAACCTGGGCCTGACGCTGGTATCGTCCCCATTTTTGCAATTTTTGCAAGGCAGGTTTGTGCCTCGGCAGGGATTGAACTCGTGGCTCAGGGTGTGAACGTGAGTCTACACTCTTAACCACTCGGCTATCCCTGCCTCGAATTTAGATCCGCCATAAAACCTCTCATATAAGCTTGTATCAATTTATTTGATCATCCCTTTTCTGCTAACAGCAAAGTGACTTTTTAGGCTTCCCGCCTGAGCTTTAAGCAGAATAAGCGACGTTTGAACCCCTGCGATTGCGAATGCGATTTAGAGGTATATGAGTTGTTCACTGCTTTGTCGCCGTCTAATTGAACGCTCACGTCACTACATTAAGAAAGAGTGTAGTGGGCGTGGGAGTGGATGT